TCTTACATTGGTCAGTCCTCGAACATGGCTGTATCCATCCTGATGCAGGGCAGTAGACTTTGGCGTCTTGAAGCACCACCTCGCGCACCAAGTTTTCGCGAGCAAAACCAGCCACAGCAAATTCCCTTTCGCAACACGACCGCCAGCAAGCAAGCCGCGCCCGCGACCACTACGAGCAATCGAGGGACCGGAACTGTGAGAACTAGTGTGCCTACATGGAAACATGTAGGCACCGTAGCGGGAACGATCAGTGGCCGCCGAGGACTTCAATGAAGGTCAAGCGGCGGAGCGAGCCATGGGAATAGCGGGAGGAAGGGCAGAAGAGTGGGAAGAAAGGCAACAGAAGGAACAAGCGGGTGAGGAGGATAAAGGCTCGTTCACACTCTTGCGACCATATAGATCATACATACTAACTCTAGAGGAAAAGGTCCGCCATTTTCCCATGCATTCTGGCTGCCGCAAGCGGCGGAGCATGCAGGCAGACCCTTGGGGTCCCACATGGTTACCAACTGCCTTCGATTTCACAAATATATCATCAGAGCAGTGCCATGAACTTCAACAATCCACGAACTTACCGGTGGAAAGATGTTTGCGTTCCTTTCGAAGCTTTCTTTTTGCATATCACGCAGATGTACGGCCTCCCGTCAACACTAAACTAAACCAGATAACCGGCTTCGGTTATCAGGTTTAGTTTCGTATTTCCGGGCGCAGGTGGCCGCGCCCGGGAATACGAAACCGTGCAACTACCAGATTTTCTAGATTTCGTCAGAAGGGAAGTTAAAGGGGCGGTGCAACAATTTGCGGACTTTGACTAATTAATTGCGGCAATTGATCCCGGCCAGATATAAAACGAAGGACCGAAAACTATTCTTTCCTGCTTGCCCTAGTTTTCATTAAAAAAATAAAAGAAATTGGTATCTCTGGCACCCCTCAACTCAACATTGAAGCGGCACCAGCTTCGCCTGTGACGTCATTCGGAGTGGCGTTGGTTTCCGGTTGGGTGCTTCTGGCTTCCGTTTCCCCAGCGATCGCCGGCTCGCCACGCTCGCCGCTCCCGCTACTCCCACTCTCCCGCCGATTCCCGACCAACATGGCGGCATGGGCGGACGGCCTGAGCGATGTCGAGCGCAAGATGCTTGCGACGCGGCGGGCAGTCGAAGTCGAAGTCGAAGTCGAGGTCGAGACACCAGGAACAATAACGATACCACGATACTAGGGACCACGACCAACGCACTCCATCGAGCGAGGGAAAGACGAAACGTCCGGGTTGCTCGTGTAGCCGCCGTAGGCGCCTCGGGCGTCGACGGATGACGGCGACGGTAGGTTTTGTTGACTTGCGGTAGATGGCGCCACAAATTATACCCTTTTAGCGGCAATATTATGCTTTTGAAGCGTTTCTGCATGCCTAAACAACAAGATTTTTTAAACTTAATCTTAAATCAAGCTTACAACTGCCTAACACTATCACTTACAAAAACCACTCCGAATGACGTCACACCACAGGTTCCATTTGCGGCCACCATGTGGCCGCAGGTTGGGAAAAAAAGCGCTTTTTATTTTACGATTAAGCAAGCTAGATAAAAGTATTTTGGGGTATGGTGGCACTTTTTCTCTTACTTATGCCGAAGTAAACAATATAAAAAATACAAGCTGCACATTCCTTCAGTGTTAAAATCATTGCACCGCCCCTTTAATGCAGCATAATGAGTATGCTGCTTTTTATAAACCATAGAATAGCTCAGAATTTAGTTTGCAACGTTAAATTATCACTGTTTATATTGCTGAGAGTTTTCAGTCTTCGCGATTACCATTGCGACTGTCGTCCTTCAGCTGGCAACATTGGTTTCTTTCTCTCGTGTTCTGTCGCTCTCTTTCGCGATCTTTCACTCGGGACCCAGGGTGTCGGCGCTCGGGATTTGCCACTCCTCCTCACCCACCTTTACCCCCCTGCTTGCGACCGAGTAAGACCGAGAGAGAAAGAACCGATTTTTAAGCCTCTTGCGATGTCTTAAGACCGGGTGCGCTGCTGCTGAGCTGTTCCTAAGACGTCGTAAGAGGACTAAAAACTGGCCTTGTCACTCTCAGTTGTACTCGGTTGCAAAAGTGTGAACGAGCCTTAAGTTTGTCTCCGAGAGATGTTCCTCGGTGGGACTGCTTGCTGCGCTTCAAGTGATAAAATTTTGCAACATTGCGAGGTCGCGGCTAATCTGATAAGACAGAACCAGGGTATTTTACTCCTGGCGTGGTCGCTTGATTATCATGTCTGCCACATGCCTTCATGCCGTGGCTACAGTGTATACTGTGGTACTTGCGCCGTTTACATCAACCTTCACCGCATCGCATCATCACGCGCGCGTGGAGCTTCACCGCTCTACACCGGAGTGCTAGGAGCAGCGGCTGCCATAGGAGAGGGAGCGCCTGGGTTGGTGCGATTGGCTCGGAAATTATGCTTAGTACCGTAACAGGTCTACCTTTTTTGGTCTTGATTGTAAGTTAACCTCTAAACTGTTCCAAAGAAGGGGCGGGGGGAGGGGGGGGGGGGAAGGAGAAAAAGCAAGAAGAAAAAACGCGAGTCTTTATTTGAACAAATACGGTGGTCTAGGCAGTTGCCGCGCAGCTTTCGAGCGAAAGCGAACTTTGAGTCAAGTCTGGTTCAGACGCCGCTATAGCACAGTGTCACTTATAAAACGTTTAAGTGTAGGTTTTCACAATATTTGTGGGCGACGGTTTTTGCAGTGTATGGTATTACAACCTTGAGTTTGGTAGGTTCATAAAAGTTGTGTGAACATATTTTTTATTGATAGACGTTTTAGCAGATATGTTGACTTTTGCCGGCATTTACTGAAATCATATTTACATGCTAAATAAACTATCGACCGTAAAAGCTCCACATCACAACTTTGCCTGCTACAAAACCTGCTACAAAAGGTTAAATGCCACTTCCATCACTGGCACCGAATTGTGAGGAATTTGCGCCAACGTAGTAGGGACACTAGCAGCTCAGGCGTCGCTACCTAACATTTTCAGTAGAGTAGATTGTTGGGCTAGTTGGTTTTGGAATTTGGAATACATTTTAGCGCTCAAAAAACAGGGACAAAGAGGCGAGAAACAGACAGCACAGCGCACTGTGCTGTCTGTTTCTCGCCTCTTTGTCCCTGTTTTTTGAGCGCTAAAATGCATTCCAAACTAACATTTTCGTTACGCTAAACATGCTAAATTTTTCGAAACTTTTTTAATATTGGCTCGAATAGCGTGGTATTCGATTTGATATTCTTATCCGCAACCGGCGGTATACTCGAGCTTTTGCAATATCCCTCGTTGTTTGTGATCTGCTCGCACGGGATAGTTAGCTCCGTTGAGTGCGCTTCTCACTGTTCATTGGCACAGTGCGGAGAAGCGATAACCGCGGCGTTGACATCACGATTTTGTGTGCCTTACGTCCCTGCAGCGCAGCGTCGTGCTAAGAGGGGAAGCGAGTCTCATGACCGGGATGGTGCACGCGCACGCGTTAAGTACTAAAACAAACAAACAAATTAGTGTTTGTTGATGCAAATTTTTCAGCCGCGATATTCGAATGAGTTGCGTGCATAATGTTTTGTTATCTCTTTTCAAATCTGAGATCTAAGGAAGTAAATTGGGTATAGCAAGCATATTCATGCATAACCTCCATTAGGTGTGGCAGGGCTGCACTGTAGTATCGGCTTTTATATCTATCCGAAATTGGTCGTTCAGTTATCGCCGGCCGCTGTACAAACCTCTGTCTGTTCGAGGGCACAGACGATAACTAAATTAACTTTAGTAAAACAGAATCTTTGGCGTTAACGCGCGTTGAGCTGAACTTTCTTTTTCATAATCGCAAAACGGTAGATTTAAGATGTCATTGGTTTGCATATTTGAATAAAAAATATTGCCTTTTTTTATCTGAATCAAGAATTTCAATTTTATTGCAACTTTAAGAACCTGAACAGGACATTAAATTTGCTACTCAATCTTATTCTCAACATTATTTCCGTGGATCGGTTTGGCTGTGATTACATACCTAAAATAGCTATTGACAGATGTTCATCCTACGTTGTTCCTTAATCATGTGCTTGAAAAGCGGCTGTTACAGTGATCTTTTTTACACGAAAGTAATAGACTTAATTGGTCACTTGTCTCGCTGCATGCTCTTTAGTTGTGCTTTTAAGCACATCTAAACGGCTAGTCCAGTGTTTGAAGGTATGGAACTTGCTGTGCAGTGGAGCAAGTTAGTACTAGCATCGATGGGGCAAGGCAAAGAAGGTATTGCAATTTAGTTGGACAGGCCAGCACACGTATGTTAACATATTATTCGAAGTGTGTAATCAATTAGAATGAAGTGAACACTTCTGCTTCCAAAATGCGTTTTTGCTGCTCCAATTGAAATTTTGGCTGCTGTAAGAGGTGCTCTAAAATAAGAACTCACACCACTGAAAATGTCATTAGTGCACCGTTTACGGAGTTCGCAACGACGCGACAAAAAATAAGCAAAGTTCAAAAAAAAAAAAAAAAAAAAAAAAACCGCTATCAGACAACATCATTGAAGTCTGGTGGCTCTCAGCGGAAAGTATTTGCTTGCATTATCTTCTAAAGTAACGCTCGATTGTTGCTCTTCGTCCACTAGTATACTACGAATTGTTACCAACTGCTTTTGGAGCAAGGTAGTTGTAACCGTAACTAAGCGAAATATCCGACGAAATTTGCTCTAGTATGCAGCAATCATTCCTGGCCTCGCACTGCAGCCCCATTCAAGCAGCAGCTTTTGCTTAGATTTCTTTAGCGTTAAATCACGATTCGACCGTGGAATATCATGGTGACCCGCAGTTCCAGTAAACATAACGCACCGTAAGCATGCGCCGTTGGCCCGCTTTTCGAAGAACAGCTTTCTGCGCATGCACAGCCACATCTCCCGAGCGCTGGTTGTTTTTCGCGGACCTCCGCCGTGCCTGACGTCCCCCCGTCTCTTCCCCTCGCAGTAGCTGCGGCAGCGTCCCCCAGGCCCCGGCGTCGTCCTCCCGGCGGCCGTCGCCCCCGTCCTGCGCGGCCGAGGACCCCGGGCGCGAGCCCCGAGCGCAGCGCCACAGCTCGGATGCCGGCTCGGCGGCGGCAGCGGCGGCGGCTGACTGCGCCAACGGCGCCCAGGCCCCAGGCTCGGCGGCCGCCCCTGCGCCCGGCTGCGCCCCGAGCCGCTCGAGCCCGGAGCCCATGACGGCGGCCCGCAGGACGCCCGAGCTCGGGCCCGACACTGCCAGGTGAGCCACCAGTCGGCTTTCCGCGTCCTCGGCACCCCCGCGGCAGACATGGCGTTCGGCGACGAGGTCCGCGCAGGATGCGGCCCGCATGGCATGGCGTCGCGCGGTGCATCTTCGTCGTCGTCGTCGTCGGCGGCGGCGGCGCGCTGCCACCGCGATCGACCCCGGCGTTCGCGCGGAACAGTTTCGCGCTGCAACGACTTTTTTTTTTTTTTTTTCCTTTTTTTAATTGGGGACGTTACGGCTGCGGCGACCTAGTAATTCGGCTCGAAATGAGCGTTTTGAGAAGGGATGCGTAATGAGCGTCCCCCTCCGCGTGACGGATTCTCTCCTCCCGTCCCCCTTTCCCCCTTGGGGACTTTTATTTATTTATTTATTTGTTTATTTATTTATTAATGGGAGCCCGATCGAAAAGCGTTATTTGGTGCGCATTACGATGACCGGAAAACGTTTGTGCTTGCAGCATCGACTAGCACGGCCGTCGAGATATATGTGTGTGTCTGGTCCGAGTCGAACAACGTGGTGCTCTTGGCGCCTATACGGGGTCTCGCCTGTTTATCGCCGCTCGCTAGAAATTTCTGCATCTTAATTGGACCATTGTGCGCGAGGCTATTGCGACTCGGTTGGTTTAAGTTGGTTCGAGGCTATTGTGCCTTTATGCTTTTTTTTTTTTTTTTATTTCTTTCTTTCGGAGGAGAGCCTTTCGGTTGACTGGTGCTGCTTGCCGCTGACCCAGATCTGCCAAGCGTTTCGATGAGGGGGACCTTTGACTTTTTCGGAGGCAGCGCGGGATCTGCTTCCTATACCCTGTTCTCAAGGTTACCTCGCTTTTCTTTTTTTTTTGTTGCTTTGTTTGTTGCGTTTTCGAGGCATGTGCCTTTGCGAAAAAGATGCGGCATTTTTTTTTCTTCTCTTGATGCTTTATCTTTTTCTTTGACGCAAGTGCGTTGGTTGTCTATCTTAATGGAGAATTGTACTTTTAATCAGGAATTAGCTGATCTAGCTTTACATCTAAAGGTATCGAGTTTGATGTGGAATGAACGAGGCAGCGAGACATCCAAGAGGAAACTGCACGTTTAATACGCAAAAGGAAAAAAATACCAACAAAAAAAACCTGTGTTTTGCAACTATCCGGTCATGTTTTTTTTTCTTTTTGTTTTGTTTCGCAATACAGTATTTATTTATTTATTTATTAATACCGAAAGGCACTAGAACAAGGCATTAGAAGGAAACATTTGTTGGTGCAAATTATAATAGGTAAACAGAATAAAACATACCCCAAAACAACGAAACACACGCACTATATAAAAAACGAAAAAAAAAAAGAGACACAGTATTAACTGGGTAATAGGGAGTATTCACTGGACGCCATATTTGTGGGTGCTGTTTAGAGCGCATGCTCAGAACGAACTCACATCAATAGGCTGCTAAGACCGGCACCCTTGGTGGAGCGGAATACACGTTTTAAAAGAACTGTGGAAGCTCGTCATGAGCACGCGCTCAGCATTCGCGCACACAGCTATGGCCGCCAGTGAATACTCCCTATACTAGTGCGCAGGTTCCGAATATTCGTTTAGTATAGTTCTTAAAATATATCTATATTATATGGTGTCGTGCAAATCGTTCCAGTTATTTTCAGTACCCAGCTTTTACAGTGTTTAATCTCCAGCGTAGGTTTATCGGCGTCGTGCGTGTCCAAATTCTAATAACTGTGCACTATCCTATTTGCTTTGTTTGCATTCCTTTTTATGCACGTTGCGATTAATTTGACACCCCCGTGTTCGCATCCGCTTCCAAACTTCCCTTGGCAGAGGTTAGCGTCGACCCGACTGCTTTACAGTTGTCGGGTGCAATTTGTTTCTCAGAATTGTTAATGTCCTGTCAAAATTCAATCGACGGGGCTAGAATTGTTTCAACGTTTAACACATTATTTTTTTATTATTATTTTTCGATGGACAGAATAAGAGAATTAATGTGCATGTACACGACACTGGTTTTAAGTTTAGTTATTTCAAAATACTTAATTTCGCATTGGCCAAGCTAGTCTTGACGATTGCTTGTTACCGGTGTGAGCCGTATATTGTCTGTCGATCAAAAACATACAGATGCACTCAATTCTAACTTAGGTTTCGTTTTATATATATATATATATATATATATATATATATATATATACTCTTTGATGAGTTGAGTCAAGAAAGAAAAAAAGGACGACGAAAAATCAGTTAATGTACACAAAATTCATGTACGCACTAGCTTCATCTCCACGTAATAGACCGATCTCGCCAAGCCTTTGGCGCATGCGTGAAGCCGCCATAACTTTAGTTCACAGGATGCAGGCCGCAGTGTCCCAGACGGCTCGTGCCGTCTCGTGTTCTGCACGAGCAGGGCTCCAGCGAGGTTGTCGCACGTGCAGAAAGACTCAAATACCCTCGGTGCATTGCGGCAGCGGAGGCCAAACTGGCTGGTGAGATCAAAGAGTTATTATAATGTACGCTAGAGGTTCAACTGTCGTTACTGTCTATGCGACTTCCTGGAGGCAGATTGAGGCAAACAGCAACCAGTCTACTTTTGCAGTGCTCCGCTCTGCATTTCTATGAGAAAACGAGTATGCATTTTTTCTCTTCGCCGAAAAAAAAAGGAACGTTTTTGTTCTTTGGATTGTACTGAAGAGTATGTACCTTTATAACAATTGTAAAGGTGTAATTGCTTTGGTTTGCGCCTTTTTATTCGTCAGTGAACGATATTTAACTTCGCAATATTTCAGGCCCAAACCTCTGTTCCATAGCAGGTATGTAAAGACGAGTGACGATTCTGAGCAAAATAATAATTGAAAGGAATGTAGAGTGTTTTCAAGGGTCGCCAGCATTCCGGTGGTGCTTATATATTGCTAATGTGCCAGTCTTGTCACTATAGAAAAATGACCCCTTTTGCATCTTTACGAGCGGTTAAAAACATTCAAAACGTAAAGAATAAAGTATGTGGACTATGAAAGGTGTCTCTTTTAAGTATTTTCTGTGCCGGGCAGCTTTTATCAGGCACTTGTTTTTAAAGATTTCGAGCGTGCGGGCGATGTTTTGAACGTAGAACAAAGGTTTTCGCACAGAGCAGAAAGAATAAAGCATCTCTTATTGAAAATCGGACTATATTACTTGGCCTTCAATTTATGCTGATCTTACATGCACGGGCAGTTACTGATCCAGTGTCACTGCGTAGTTATTGCCGTCTCTCTTAGTTTTCCAGACGTCCTTTGTTCGTTTGGCGCGTGTATCCCCCATGCTGAAAAGCGCCGACGTCGCGTTCGCGCTAACAGTGTCCGACGGTGCACATAAATACACGTACGAAGCCGTTTTAGTACAGTTTTTAATGCGATGAGTTTGAAAGAAAAACGCCGTAACTCTCCGATTATTTCGTCCGCCTGACTGAAAAATGTTCCCACCTACCTAGTACGTACAATTAATCGGGGTAAATGCTCTTATAATCGAGCGCAGGGAGAGAATGCACCGCCTTTTTCTTATGGAAATGCATTACCGGAAGTAAATTTTCGACTGGTTGCTGTCTGCTTCAGTTTGCCACAGCACACTAGCGCTATTTGAACCTCTAGCGTACATTATAACAACTCTACGGGTGAGATCATGACCTGAGATTTTCGTCGCGTAAAAGTCGTCTCGGGCCCTTCCGAACGCTCGGCCGCCCAGCAAAAGCAGCGTATGGCACTGCTTCCCCAGAGCTCCGCAAGGCGGGGGCGAGTTCGCGGCCACGCCATCATCACAAAGGTAAAATTTGTGCACGCTGCAAAAAGCGAAATAAAAATAATAATAATGATAAAAAAAAATCTTAAATTTAGGACACGAGCGGTGTTTCGTCTGAACTTGAGTCTAAAGCGCTGGTATGAACCGGAGTATTCTTTTCTACGTCTTTCCCGGTTTTAAGAAAGAACCCGAGGATTTCAAATTACCGCTTTCTCGGAAAAGCAATGTGTTGTGATGAGAAGCGACGAGTACAATTTCCGCAAATGATCGCATTTTCACTGTCCACCCAGCAAACATACTACTCCCTGCGTGCCAGCAGGCCCAAACAAGTGAGCAGACACGACGAAGAAAACAAAAAAGCGGCTGTTTCCGCCGCACGACGGCGCAACGCTCAGGGCCGCCGTTTAAGCCACCGTGTGCTACCTTTTATTTATTATTATTTTTTTTTCCAGTCTTTCCCGAAGAATAGGGAGTTTTCGTAGACCGCATTTCCCCCTCCGCTAAGCCCTCCGCAACGCCCTCCGCAACGAAGAAGCCACTACTGCGCATGCGCGCCGATAGCGTTGACCGTAGAGTTCCGGGTATCGTAGCGGGTTTCGGAGAGCGTTGCGGGACGCCGGAAACGATCTTTGAGAACTCCCTAAGGAAACTTCCCGAATCCCTGCGCGCCGAAAATCTCGGGGCCATGATGAGATCGGCCTATTCACGCGCAGATTTAGACGCTTATCATTACGTGGCTCGAACTTGTGGATGCTTTCCTAAAAAAATAAAGGTTACTGCATGGATTCTCAACCTCGTTATCGCGTATTCAACGAGACAGTCATTCGACTTCGACCCTTTCCTGACTCAATTCATCACGGACCTCTGTTCGTCCTGCTCGAAACTTCAGACACCTTCGCCACATGGAACTGGGACTCGTCGTGCAGTTTGCTCCCTTCCGCCTGAAGAAACTGCGCGAACCTCGCACTTGACTGTAACGTCGATCGTATGCGCCATGTTTGCTCACACGTTAGACAGGGATCGATGGATGAAACGGCCAACTCTGGGGTTTACGTGTGGAGACACTACTGAACTATGCTGGATGGGCTCTTGCGGTTCTCCGTTTACGGCTCTCCTCCCTCTTACAAATCATCAAAAGCTGGCGGAAAAAAAAACAAAAAAACAAGCAAAAAAGGTTTTTGCAAATTTTTTACGCTCACCCCGAAGCTCATAACAAAGGGAAAACTATATTTTATAGACTCGGATATG